GAAAGGTGTCAGTACTGGGTTTAGGGAGAGTTGGGGGGGGGCTTTAAGGACCCCTATGAGCCCAGCACCCACTTCAGAAGGAAACCCAGGGGGGTTTAAAGTATAGAGGGGGTCCCTAAAGGGTTCTGGGGTTCAGGAGTGGGGAGGATGTATTCGGGGGGGGGTCCTTGAGAGGGTTTTGGGTGCATGGGGGAATCCATAGGGTGGTTTTGGGGTGCAGAGGGGGGTTGTTTTGGGGTGCACAGTGGGTGCTTTTGGGGTGCAGGGGGTTGTTTTGGGGTGCAGTGGGGGTAGATTTCGGGTGCACAGTGGGTGCTTTTGGGGTGCAGGGGGTTGTTTTGGGGTGCAGGGGGGTTGTTTTGGGGTGCCGTGGGGCTTCTGGGATGCATGGGGGTGGTTTTAGGGTGCAGGGGTTGTGTTTTGGTGTGCAGGGGCATGGTTTTGGGGTGCGGGGGTGGCGTTTTGGGATGCAGGGGGTTGTTTTGAGGTGCAGGGGGGATGGTTTTGGAGTGCAGACGGGGTGTCTTTGGATGCAGGGGGGATGGTTTTGGGGTGCAGAGGTGTGTTTTGGTCCCTGTGGGATCCCCCAAAACCCCACAGAGCCCCCCCAAAACCCTCTAACGCTCCCCACCCCGCCCCCCAAACCTGAATCTCCTTGAGGTGCTGGTACCTGAGCCCCGAGTTAAGGAGGAAACCTGGGGGGGGTTAAAGGAAGGGTTGGGGTGGTCGGGGCGGATCATGGGAGGGAACTGGGGGTTCCTGGGCGAATTGGGGGGTGCTGGGGAGTTGTTGGGATCCCAATGGAATTTTGGGGGTGTCCTAACAGGCAAAGGGGTTTGGGGGGGTCCTGAGGGCTTTTGGAGGCTCCCCAATGAGCTTGGGTGTCCCCCCCCCCTTTGGGGTGCAGCGGATACCACAGCAGGTTCCCTTTGATCTTCTTCACATTCCTACAGGAACACACCCCCCCCCCATGTATTTTAGGGACCGATCCGAGGTTTGGGGTCCCTCCAGATGTTGCAGTTCCTCCCCCCCAGATGTTGGGGTGCCCCCCTCACCGCGGGTGCCGCACGTGGCCCATGATGTACTCCCGGATGGGGGCACAGGGCCCCGTGCACAGCCTGGAGGTGGGGGGGAGACAAAGAGAGGGGGTCAGGAGCACCCCAACCCCCCCAGGACCCCAAAAGCCCCCACTGGGGGGTCCCGCGGGCTCCAACCTGCGCAGGTCGGGATCGGAGGGGAGCTCCAGCTCCGCCATGATGGGCGAAATTGGCGCGCTGGGAGCGCCGCGCGGCACGACGGGAGTTGTAGTCCAAGCCGGGCGGCGCCTTAATGGTGCTGTATGGGTGTCGCACTGCATCATGGGAGTTGTAGTCCAGGCTGGGCGACGCCATGACGGGGCTCTCTGGGTGCCGCGTGGCATGATGGGAGTTGTAGTCCCCTCCTGGCCGGAGCCATAACGGCTCTCCATGAACATCCTTTTCCAGAGAGTTCCCCGCATGCAGACAGAACTGTGGGGGTGGTCTCTGGGGGTCGTTTGCTTCCTCCAACGATCTCCATCACTTCTGGCAGCCCTTGAAGCACGCGCAGTAGATGCTCAGACCAGCTTAATTGGTTCGTTAGCACCAGAGACGGAGCAATCCTCCCATCCTCCCACTGCTCAGGTGGTTTAACTGCAGCCCATCCTGGGCTCCTGCGGTTCCAGATACTCCTTATCCTGTGTCCTGTTCTTCTGGACTGTTTTTCTTAAACTGTGTCACAACTGTAAGGATTTCTCTTGTGAGAATTCTCAGTGTGTTCTCCAGCTGCACTCTATGGGATCTTTTTCTCTCTGTGTCACGCACCTCAGTAATTTTCCATTGCTACTGGTACAAAACCATCAAACTTAACATTACTTAAAAGTGATTCTAAAGATTTCTATATTCCACTTTGTGCCCCCCCTTTGTCTCAGTTTGGGGGTGTTGTTTGGATGTTTTGGGCGGTTTTGGAGCTGTTTTGGCTTCTGAACCTGTATCCTGTAGGAGAAGAAGGATAAGTTTGTTTTGGGGTGTTTTAGTGTGTTTTTGGGGTGTTTATGGTATGTTTTGGGCCTCTGACCGTGTATCCCGTAGGAGAATCAAGAGAAGGTGGTGTTGGGGTTTTTTGGGGTGCTTTTGAGATGGTTTTGTGGTGTTTTGGTGGTGGTTTGGGGCTGTTTTGGAGCCATTTGGGGTCTGTTTTGGGGGTCTGACCCTGTATCCCATCGGAGGAGCTGTGATCCCCCCCCCCAAGGCCAATGGCATTCCATAGGGAACACAGTCATTCCATAGGGAATGCGCCATTCCATAGGGAGAAGCTGCAGTTCCATAAGGGACACTGAGGATCTTGTGTCTTCTCTGGCACCATTGACAAAGAGGAGCTGTGACCCTCATTGGAATGTCGGGATTCCATAGGGAATGCTGTGATTCCATATGGGGACGCTGCGGTTCCGTAAGGGACACTAAGCATCTTGGATCTTCTCTGGTACTGTGGACAAATAGGAGCTGTGACCCCCACATAGAACACAGGCCCCCCCCTTGGACACTGGGATTCCATAGGGAGCACTGGGATTCCATAGGGAGGCACTGGGATTCCATAAGGGACACTTGACATCTCCAGTTCCTGGAGTGGATGGAGCCACAGGAGATTCTTCGTGGGACTCGTATAGGGGATGCTGTGTCCTCCTATGGACCACCATATGGGGCTGAAGGGGTCTGTATGCGACCAAGGGTATCCACATGGGGTTAGGAGCATCCTTACGGAGTTAGGAACATCCATATAGGACATGGGGCTTCCACACGGGACCACCCGCATCCATCTAGGGCTGAGGGCCTCTATATGGGGCTGAGGGACTCTATATGGTCCTACGAGCAGCAACCATATACAACATGGGACCAGCAGCATCCGTATCAGACCAGGGGCCTCCATATGAGACCACAAGCATCCATATGGGATTGAGGGCCTCTATATGAGGCTAGGAGCATCCATATGGGGCTAGGAGTATCCATATACAACATGGGACCTCCATATGGGACCACAAGCATCCATCTAGGGCTTAGGGCTGAGGAACTCCATATGTAGCTATGGGCCTCTATATGAGCATATAGGAGCAAGGGCCTCCGTATGGGACTATGAACTTCATATGTGACATGGGGCCTCCAGATGGGACCACGAGCATCTGTGTTGGGTTGAGGGCTTCCACATGGGGCCATGAGCTTCCATATGGGGCCATGGGTTTCCATATATGACATGGGGCCTCTGTATGGGATCAAATGCAACTCTATGGGACCATATATGCATCCATATGGCACTGAGCACCTTCCCTATAGGGCAGAGGGCTATAAGGGGGTAGAGTATCTCTATGGGGCTGAGGACCAGCTCTTATGGGGCCACAAACCTCTACAGGGGACTGAGAATATCCATCTCTATGGGGCTGGGGGCTTCCCTATGGGATTCAGGCGTTCCCTATAGGCTGAGCTTTCGCTAGGGGGTTCAAGCTTTCTCTATGGGGCTGAGGTCTTCTATAGGGCTGAGGCTTCCTTATAGGTCTCCCGCGACCCCCATACATCTCCTTTGTCTCCCCCATATCCCTGGGGAGGGGGTGGGCGGAATGGGACGATAGCATTCAAGACAGTAAGGGGTTGCAGGAGCCCCTCCCAGCCCCTCATTTTGAGGCCAAATCCTTAATAATCATAATAATATGCCAATTAATAATTAGGCTCTTCCAGCACTTTCTCCCCCTAAATTATTTCCTAGTGGAAATCAATGGGTTTAACCCCCCCTTCCCCCCCCCCCCCCTTTATAAATCACTATATTTGTATAAATGGTGCCTTTCCAACCCCAAGTCTTACCTTATTCCACCCATTTTCTCCACGGGGGGGGAGGGGGAGGGGCCTCACTGTGACCCCCCATTGCCCGCCCCAAAATAATCCCTCCGCCATTGTGCCTATTATTTTATATGTCCCCATGATCTTATTTAATTATCCCGCCCCCCGTTGTGATGCTGATAGGAATAGAACTGCTGTCCCCCCCTTCCCCACAGTGGTTTGTTCCATAACGGAGGGGTAGAAAAGCGGGGTCGCAACCATTTTGAGGGGCTGGGGGGGTCCAAGCCATTTTGGGTGTTGGGGTCTACCCCATTTTGGGGTGCTGGGATCCCATTTTGGGGGTGTGTCCCCCATTTTGGGTAGGGTTGGTGCCCTCCCTCCTTTTGTGCCCGATGAGACCACCCACAGGAGGGGCGTGGCCAAGCCGGATGGGGCCGGCTCTGATTGTCTGGGCCCGCTTGGGGGCGTGGCTTTGTCCAGTGGGCGGTACCAAGAGGCGGAGCAAGGAGGACTGCACCGGGGTACCCGGGTGCCCTCAATGGAAGCTGGGGGGGGGAGACTGCAGTGCTGCTGAGTGACTTTTAGCGCTATAATGGACCAAATTCCCTTGGGAACACCGTTTCCTTCCACAGCGGCACCCCTTTTGCTGATCCATGGAAGCAGGGAAGCCCAGAAGGAATCACTGCAACTTCATTGCGGGATAACGGGGAGTCAGGTTTGGAGTGCGTGCTGCCTGGATGCTATCGGAGATGGAGGGGAGGGAATGGGACAGCGGAGACGATGCCCTTTGGTCTCCGGAGCTCCTTGGTCCAGGTTTGTCTCCGCCATCCTTTCCCCTAAACGATAACTGCGCATCCGCAGCAGGAGAGCACCCGCAGGCAGTATCCCAGGCTCCGCCGCTCCGGTGCTTTCCTGAGGATGAGCAGGGTCTGTGCTGTCAGGGAACGGAGGCCGGGATCATCCTCATCCAGCAGCGCTTCCAGGGCTGTGATCCAAAGAGACCGGGATGAGCCCCTCCGTAACCTCCAGCATCCCCCCAGCCCCTGCTCCCTCCTCACCTCTGCAGATCTGCTCCAGCTTCCTTGGGCTTTTCCCTCTTAGGGGCCGTGCAGCCAATCCTGGGCACACAGGGATCCATTGGGATCCGTCAGCATCCATCGGGATCCATCAGGGATGCAGCAGTGGGAACCGGGTTGGGGACCGCAGGGACTCACCAATGAACCTGACGGCTGCCTCTTGCAAGGAGACCTGAGCATCCTGCAGGTACCGCAGGCTCTGGTCCAGGTATCCCTGAGCCCTCTTCCTGCTCCGCTCCAGCTGCAGAAGGAATGGGATGCTATGGAAGGCCCCCATTGGCCGGAGCAGTCCCAACGCTCCCTTTCCCATCCGCATGTGGAATGAGCAGAGCGGTCCAAGGGGTTCCAAGGGGAATAGGGACGGATGCAGGACCCATACCAAGCACTCTGCAACCCTCCACGTCTGCCTCGTGTCCAATAGGCGCCGAAGCTCTTCCCATCCCAGGAGCGTCGCCGCAGCAAGGAGAGCTTCCCAGGAAGCCTGCACAGGATGGGATGGGAGATGGCACCTTGGGGATGATCCCACCCTCGGGAATGTGGGATACCCGAGGTGGGGGGAAGGGTGTTTGTACCTCGGCCACGCTGCAGCTTTGGTCGCTCATGCGGAAGAAGAGCGGGAGCAGCAGATCCCAGATTTTGCTCCTCATCCTCCTCCTGTCACCGCCAAGCACCGACTGCAGCAGGACCCGGAACAGGCGGATGGAGAGCTCCCGGAGCCGGCTGCATCCCTGAAGGGAAGGAGGAAAAGGGGGCACTTGGGCAGATCCTGATGGGATGTGAAGCCCTGGAGCCATCCCCATGCGAGCTCCAAATCACCGCAGGGGTCCCACACAGCCCTTACTCCATCAAAGAGGGGCCAGAGGTCCTGCACCAGCCCCACGGCAATGGGGCTGGCCTCCTCACGCGGGAGGCGACCCATCACGTTCCGTAGGATCATCAGGGCCTTTATCCTGAGCTCGTCCTCAGCGTCCCAGAGCCAGCGCACCATGTGGGGCAGCAGTCGCTGCAGTTTCCTTGCCTGCAGGAAGAGGTGGGGGCTCCTTCTGGGGAAGCCTTGACCCAAGGCTATGGTCACCAAGGTCATGGCCAAGAGGGGTCCCTATGGCCATGCCCTGCCCCATGGCCAAGAGGGCTCCCCATGAACCATGGCCAAAGGGTTCCCTATGCCCATGCCTTTCCCCTTGGCCAAGAGGGCTCCCCATGAGCCATGGTCAAGAGGGCCCCCCATGCCCATGCCCTGCCCCATAGCCAAGAGGGCTCTCCATGGTTGTGTCCTGCCCCATGGCCATGACCCGCTCACCAAGACACGTTTCTTTGAGAGCTCCAAGAGTCTTTCCAGCAGCACGGCCGCTGTCACCAGGTTCTGGGGGTCCTCAGCTCCCTCAGCACCACCAGCACCGGAGGCCATGGTCTAAGGCAAACACAGGCATTGAGACCCCATGAGCCTGCAGGGCTCATGGGACTCATCAGGGCCCTTTGGGACTCACAACCAAGTTGGGGATGGAGGTTTCCCGGGTGTCCTGGAGCATCCCCAGCAGCTCTTGTAGGGCCTCTGAAGTCTTGGATATGGTCAAGAACACCTCCCAGATGTCCGCGTCAGCGCTGGAAGGCAGAGCACTGAGTCAGCGTGGTCTGTGCATCCCATGGGATGCCCTATGGGGGTTAGTGGTGGTGCTCCCCATGGGGTGGGATGCAGGGACCCGCTCCTCAGGGATGTCATAGCATCATGGAAAGGGCCTCAAGTTCATCCAATTAAAACTCCAATGCCATGGGGTGGCATGGGGGGACCTGCTCCTCAGGGGTATCATAGCATCATGGAAAGGGCCTTAAGATCTTCCAGTTCCAGACCCTACGCCATGGGTCTGGATGGACGGACCTGATCCTCAGCATCGTGGAAAGGACCTTAAGATCCTCCAATTCCAGCCCCAACGCTATGGGGTGGGATGCAGACACCTGCTCTTCAGCATCATAGAAAGGGCCTTAAGATCATCCATTGCCATGGGTCCTTGGGCCTGGTGGCCATAAGGACCAAGCCCTCAAGGCTGGTACCTGTATCTCAAGGGCACGTTGAGGACCATGCTGATCGTCAATGCCCTCGGGTGCTTGATGGCCATCAGGGTGAGGAGCATGTCCATCCTGTCCCACGTCGCTTTCCCGCTGCTAATCCGCAGGCAATCGCGGATGCTCCTCACGACACTCGGCATCTGGAAGCGGGAGCAGGGGCGAGGATGGTGCTGGGACCGGATTCCCCACCCCTCTCTGCTGCATCTTGGTACCCAAGAGCCCTCCTAGGTTTAGGATGGAGGAGGAAGGACCGAAGGGGATGGGCACACAGCCATGGGGCACCCACCTCCGCCAACCAGGAGTCGAGGTCGCTCATGACCAGCTCCAGGATGTCCTCTGCCACCCTGCTGTCGAAGATGCTCGAGTCCTTCATGGCCTTGATGACCACGCAGACCATGTCCGTCCTCTCCCATGGATAAAGGGAGCCTGCAAACCTCTATGGAGGAAGGTTGGGAGCATGGGAGCGGCGTTGCCCGTGCTTGGGGAAGCATCCCACCAAAGGGTCAAGCAATGGGGGAAGCTCCATTACCATGGTGAGGTCTCGGGGGCTGGTTTCTTCATCCCATCTGAGCTTTTCCACTTCATGCTCTGGCTTTGGCCTTTCTGAAGAGCAAGGGGGACACAGGAGAGTCAATGGGACAGAGGGGAGTCAATGGGATACAGGAGAGTAAATGGGACAGAGGGGAATCAATGGGACACAGGAGAGTGAATGGAGTACAGGAGAGCCAGTGGGAGACGGGAGAGTCAATGGGACAGAGGGGAGTCAATGGGATACGCAAGAGTCAGTGGGACACAGGAGAGCCAATGGGATACAGGAGAGTCAATGGGACACAGGGGAGTGAATGAGACACAGGAGAGTCAATGGGACGCAGGGGAGTCAATGGGACACAGGGGAGTCAATGGGATACAGGAGAGTGAATGAGACACAGGAGAGTCAATGGGACACAGGGGAGTCAATGGGACGCAGGGGAGTCAATGGGACACAGGGGAGTCAATGGGACACAGGGGAGTCAATGGGATACAGGAGAGTGAATGAGACACAGGAGAGTCAATGGGACACAGGGGAGTCAATGGGACGCAGGGGAGTCAATGGGGCACAGGGGAGTCAATGGGACGCAGGGGAGTCAATGGGACACAGGGGAGTCAATGGGATGCAGGGGAGTCAATGGGACACAGGGGAGTCAATGGGACACAGGGGTGTCAATGGGATACAGGAGAGTCAATGGGAGGGGTCGGGGGGAGCCCATCACGGCCTCTGGTACCTTCCTGCTCCAGGAGGTACTGATGGAGGCTGCGAAGAGCACCCAGGGCTGGGGAGCTTGTCCCGTCCTCGGCAAAGCAGAAGAGGAGGAGGTGGCCCAGGAGATGGCCCAGGAGATGGCCCAGGAGCTCCTCAGCGGGGCGGGAGCTGAAGTGTCTCTTCCTGGTCAGGTGCAGGTTCTGGGGAGGGAGAAAGAACAGGAACAAAAGGTGAAGAACCCAAAGGAGGAAAGAAAAGAGAAAGAGAAAGAGGAGAAGGGGAAAGAGAGAAGGAGAAGGAGGAGAAGGAGAAAGAGAAGGAGAAGGAGGAAAAGGAGAAAGAGAAGGAGAAGGAGGAGAAGGAGAAAGAGAAGGAGAAGGAGGAAAAGGAGAAAGAGAAGAAGTAGGAGAAAAAGAAAGAGAAGGAGGAGGAGGAGAAGGAGATGGAGGACAAGGAGGAGAAGGAGGAGAAAAGGAGGAGAAGGAGGAGAAGGAGGAGAAAAGGAGGAGAAGGAGGAGGAGAAGGACTAGAAGAAGAACCTGAAGGACAACAAAAGAAGAAGGAAGAATGAAGAAAGAGAAGGAGGAGGAGAAGGAGAAACAAAGAGAAAGACCAGAAGAACCTGAAGGAGAATGAAAGAAGAAAGAAGAAGAAAGGAAAAGGAGAGGGAGAAGAAGAAAGGAGCATGAGCAGAAGCAAGAGCAGGGGAAGAGACAGGAGCAGGAGCAGGGGCAGGAGCAGGAGCAGGAGGAGGAGCAGGAGCAGGGGCAGGAGCAGGGGCAGGAGCAGGGGCAGGGGCAGGAGCAGGAGCAGGAGCAGGAGGAGGAGCAGGAGCAGGAGGAGGAGCAGGAGCAGGGGCAGGAGCAGGGGCAGGGGCAGGGGCAGGGGCAGGAGCAGGAGCAGGAGCAGGGGCAGGAGCAGGAGCAGGAGCAGGAGCAGGGGCAGGGGCAGGGGCAGGAGGAGGAGCAGGAGCAGGGGCAGGAGCAGGAGCAGGGGCAGGAGCAGGAGCAGGAGCAGGGGCAGGAGCAGGAGCAGGAGCAGGAGCAGGGGCAGGAGCAGGAGCAGGGGCAGGGGCAGGAGCAGGAGCAGGAGCAGGAGCAGGAGCAGGGGCAGGAGCAGGGGCAGGAGCAGGAGCAGGGGCAGGAGCAGGAGCAGGAGCAGGAGCAGGGGCAGGGGCAGGAGCAGGAGCAGGAGCAGGAGCAGTGCAGGGGTCGCTCTCGCCCGCCCCGGTCCTGCCGGGTCCTTACCCTCAGTGTGCGGTGGTGCCGCAGCAGCTGGGTCAGGGCCGCGATCCTGCCCAGGGCCCTCTCCCTCACGGCGGGGCTTCGGGAGCCGCTGAAGCGCAGCAGGACCTGGGCAGGGGGAGAAGCCGCAGGTGAGCCCCGGAGCTGCGGCAGGGGCTGGACCTGCCCCGCTTCCATTGCAGCTCCCGCTGAGCATCACCGCGGGGCGGGCAGGGATGGAGGCAGCGGCACGGGAAGGGATGCAGGGGGTGAGGGCTTGGTCCCCCCGCTGTGGGTGATGCCCCGGCTGCAAGGACCGAGGCACGGCCCCGCTTCCAGGGCTGGGCTGGAGCTGGCGGTGAAAAAACAGTGCCTCACTGCTGCCCCTGCCCTGGGGCTGCAGGGGCTTTGGGTCCTTTCCAACCCAACCCGCTCTGTGCTTCTCCGATTACAGTGTACGTGTAAATACGTAGGAATGTATAGGAATAGAGCCATAGAGCTGAATAGGAATAGGAATAGAGCCATAGAGCTAAATAGATATAGGGTAAGTATAAATATCATAGAATTATAATTATGAACAGAGATATAGATATATAAATATTCATATAACTATAAACATAAATATGAATATAGAAATATAAAACTATAGATATGAACATAACTATAAATACGAATATTAACACATATAAATATAAATAAATATAGGGTTAGATATAAATACAGGTACAGATATTAATATAAGTTAAAATGAAAATACTAATAATTAATATAAATATCTACTTATAAACGTAGATATTAATATTAATATCGGTATTAATATAGATATAGTTAAATATAAATGTTGATATTCATCAATATTGCTTTCATTAATTTTTTAATATTAATTGTAGATATCTATATAGAAATAGAAATAGATATAAATAGAAATATATAGATATTGGGTTAAATATATTGATATAAATAGATAAAAATATATCTAAATATATAAGTAGATACAAATATATATACACGTATACATATATGCACATATACACACATACATACATACACACACATATAGACACATACATATGTATACATACATACATATATACACACACATGTATGCATATATATACATATATATACACATATCTATAACAGACAAATTCCTCCTCTAAAGACCTCTTTAGGCAACAGTTCAGGGCAAGGGAACCAGTCCATGGGCCCCAGCAGCCTGGTCCCAGCCCATGGTGCCAGGAGGCAGCAAAGACCCTATCCCGGGGGGGGCTCAGCCTCCTGATGTGGTGTCCCTGCCCTGAGCTCTGCGGGCAGCGACCGCCACCCCCTGCAACCCCCGTGCTCCAGGAGGGCCTTGGGATACCCAGGGGAGGGAGGGCCCATGGCTCCGGGGGGCCCCATGGGTGAGGAGCAGCCCCCGTGCACCCCGCTCTGCACAGGCCAGACCTGCAGGATGCTCTGCAGCTCCTTGCTGCCCCTGGGGTCAGGAGAGTTGAGCACCAGGCTCCGCAACATGTTATCCATGGACTCCAATGCCTGCAGGGACAGAGCAGAGCCCTTCAGGTACCTATGGGCTTCAACCGCGGGCATCCCACAGCACCAGCGCTC